GGCCCAGTAAACTGGTACAAGAAAAGAGGAAGTTTCACATGCAAGAAACAATCATAGGAAATGGTAAGGGAAGAGTTTTCGTAACAGCCTTTTTTATTTTCTTTGTTTGTTCAGTGGTGGGCTGATTTTTTTTTTTTCCCCACACAGCTGTGACATTTTAAGATCCAAGCTTCTGCGGAATTTACATTTTGGATGATTTAAAACTCCACCCCTATAAACGAATATGCCACGTTAGGATTGTGAAATACTTCAGAGCCTGCATCTCGCTTTTTAAAGCAGCCCTGTCTGAAGACAGGGTTGTTGTTTTTTTAAAAAAAAAAGTCTTGCAGACAGGGGTTCTATTTGGGCACTTCGGAGATCAAATGTAAAGTACTGTGCTATCCTCAGAGTGTACAGCCTTCTGGTGTATTTATACTGTTCTTGTTAACTGTTAAAATAGCACAGTATACAAAATTGGGTATGTCTAGTTTAGTGAAAAGAAGGATTAGGAGTGACATATCTAAGGGGCTGCAATAAAGGTGTGTGTGTGTGTGTGTGTGTGTGAGTGTATCTTTCAAAGCATCTGAAGGCAGAACAAGAAGCAATGGATTGGAAACTGATCAAGGAGAGAAGCAATCTAGAACTAAGGAAGAATTTTCTGCCAATTGATCAGTGGAACCACTTGCCTCCAGAGGTTGTGTGTGCTCCATCACTCGAAGTTTTTAAGAAGAGATTGGACAACCATTTGTCTGAAGTGGTATAGGGTCTCCTGTCTTGAGTGAGTGCGGGGCTGGACTAGAAGACCTCCAAGGTCCCTTCCAACTCTTCTTATTCTGTTATTCTGAGTAATACTTCTATCCATCTATAATTTTATTTGCCTTTCAGAAGACTCTTTTAAGAGCAGAAGCATTCCCTGGCGTTAAAAGACAATATGATTATGGATTCAAGTTTCTAATGGAAGGATATTAGCACTATCAATAGCACTTAGACTTATATGCCTCTTTACAGTGCTTTACAGCCCTCTCTGAGCAGTTTACAGAGTCAGCCTATTTGCCTCCAACAATCTGGGACTTCATTTTACCGATCTTGGAACGAGGGAAATCAACCCTGAGCTGGTCAGGATCGAACTCCTGGCAGTGGGCAGAGTTAACACTATCAATAGCACTTAGACTTACATACCGCTTCACAGTGCTTTACAGCCCTCTCTGAGCGGTTTACAGAGTCAGCCTATTTGCCCCCAACAATCTGGGACTTCATTTTACCGATCTTGGAAAGAAGGAAATCAACCCTGAGCTGGTCAGGATCGAACTGGCAGTGGGCAGAGTTAGCCTGCAGTACTGCATTCTAACCACTACGCCACTACGGCTCATAAATTAATAAGATTCATTCATTCATCATTACCTATTAATGTTTTCCTTTTGGCTGGCCAGTGTTTGATAGTGACACATTCAGCTTTTCATGTAGAGACTGTTGTGCTTGCAATAGTGGCGAATGATGTGTATTTGGAAAAGGCCTGCTTTTTTGTATACTCTCGTTTAATACTTTTAATAAAGGAACGAACAGAAAGTTGTAAATCTTCAGGCTTATATATTTATCTATCCATCGTATTTCTTACAAAATGTAACTCATTATTACTTTTTTTTAAAGAAAGACCCTGTAGCTTATTACAGAATTCCACGCTTCTTTCCTCATAGAGTGCTACTTGCAGCTTTGTGTTGCAAATTGAGTAAAACAAATTATGTGTAACATGTAGAAGTAGTCAGGGGGAATTAATTTTTCGTCTAATACTAAGTTGCTGAAAGAGTTACTGCTGTTCAGTGAGAAGCGGGAAGCCAAGCATTCTAGTTTATAAGCCTTAGTTTTTAGGGTTTTTTTTTTTAAGTCTTTGAATAGCTTAGGAAGACTGAATGTCTTTCTCCAGATGGTGCTTATCTCTTGCTTTCTTCTGGGAAAACCGTTTTGTAATTTTTGTTAATGGACTAAAACCATGTTAGTAGTTAATAGCCATTGAGATGTAATGCGAGTTTTCTTGTTGGGAACCGGATATGAAGAGATAATTTTAATTGGCACCGGTGGTAGTGTGATTTGTAAGTGTGTTTAACGTGGGAAGTTGTGGGAGGCCGCTGGAATCTGGGTGAAATACTCCTATGGGCACCGCAGCTTTCTGCTGAAATATTTCTGTTTTTCAGTGGAGAAAGTCGTATTTAGAGGGATCTCTTTCATCAGGTTTGACGTTCGAAAAAGGGCTGTACCCTTTGCAGATGCATCTGTTCAACTGTTAAGCAAAAGAGTACGCCTGCCCAGAGAATTATAAATCCAGGTTATCACTTGGGGATAGGAGAAAGCTCACGGGATTGTGGGAATGCGGTGGCAGAAAAAGTACGTTAGCTGCTTTTGAGACTTTGGAGTTGTGGAGGAAATTTGCTTATCACAGCAGATCCATCACAGCTTATAGCAAGAGTGTTGAATAGCATGCAGAACGGGAATAATTAAATATATTTTCTAATAGCCTAGTTCAGGGGTAGGCAACCTTGGCTCTTTTATGACTGGTGGACTTCAACTCCCAGAATTCCTGAGCCAGCCATGCTGAGGGGAAAGGGAGAGGTTTCCAAGCTGAGTCATGCTGGCTGAGGAATTCTGGGAGTTGAAGTCCCCGAGTCATGAAGGGGCCAAAGTTACCCCCATGCTGGCTCAGGAATTCTGGGAGTTGAAGTCCCCGAGTCATGAAGGGGCCATAGTTCCCCCATGCTGGCTCAGGAATTCTGGGAATTGAAGTCCTCATGTCATGAAGGGGCCATAGTTCCCCCATGCTGGCTCAGGAATTCTGGGAGTTGAAGTCCTCAAGTCATGCAGGGGCCAAAGCTTCCCCCATGCTAGCTGAGGAATTCTGGGAGTTGAAATCCATGAATCATGAAGGGGTCGTAGTTCCCCCATGCTGGCTCAGGAATTCTGGGAGTTGAAGTCCCCAAGACATGAAGGGGCCATAGTTCCCCCATGCTGGCTCAGGAATTCTGGGAGTTGGTCTACGAGTCATAAAAGAGCCAATGTTGCCTACCCCTGTCCTAGTTTGATTGATTATGTGCCATCATATCTGTGAACACCTGTTCATCCAATTGTCCTATCACTGCTACTCTAACTGGGTCCATCTACTTTGTTACTACTCACCACATTCTTCTCTTTCTTTCCACTTTTCCCAGTCTTCTCAACAGACCTTACTTAGGCTTTTTGAATAAAAGGTAGTCCTCCACTTACGACCATTCATTTAGTGACGGTTCAAAGTTACAGCACTGAAAAAAAATGATTTAACGACCGTTGCAGCATCCCCACAGTCACGTGATCAAAATTCAGGTGCTTGGCATCTGGTTCATGTTTACGACGGTTACAATGTCCCAGGGTCACGTGATCTACTTTCGCAACCTTCTGGCAAGCAAAGTCAATGGGGAAGCCAGATTCACTTCACAACTGTGCAACTAACGTAACCCCTGCTGTAATTCACTTAACAACTGTGGCAAGAAAGGTCGTAAAATGGGGCAAAACTCACTCAACAAATGTTTCGCTGAGCAACGTGAATGTTGGGCTCCATTGTGGTCGTAATTCGAGGACTATCTACATTTTAAACTGAAGCTATACAGAACAGAGAAATGACTTTGCTTTCTGCATCTGTGTGCTTAAGGAACACACGTAGGATTTTTTAATTGAAAGGCTGGGACAGAGGGACAATAGCAGGCCGGGTCCTTGAGAACAAAGCTTTATAAAGAATCAGGAATAGAAATACCCGAAACAAAGGTGAACACTTCTTATCCAGTGTTGCATGTTAAATGTCAGATCATGCACAGTCTTATTGTGCTGAGATAACCCAGGGGTAAACAGTGGTCTATATTAAATGGTGGTTTATCTTAGAGCAGTGATGGGGAACCTTTTAGAGACCGAGTGCCCAAACTGCAACCCAAAACCCACTTATGTATCATCGGGTGCCTGGTGGGCGTGGCCCATTGGATGGGCGTGGTTCTGTGATAACGGCAGACTAGGTGGGATTAAAAAGTTCAATCAATTCCAACTTTGCAAGATCTTTTTTTCCCCGCGAGAACTTGAAATTGACTGATTGATTGAACTTTTTTTTTTTTTTTTTTGCACACGGCGGTGGAGGCCTAAAGCGAAAAGGTTTTATAAAACCCAGCTGACGGCCTAGGACTGGGGTGACGGCACGTGTCCCCACAGAGAGGGCTCTGAGTGCCGCCTCTGGCACCCGTGCCATAGGTTCGCCACCACTGTCTTAGACTATCTACAATATCATATGCCAGGAGCAATACACATACACGTGTTGATACAGCAGTCTCCAACACAGAGCAGTTACAGCAGGAAAGAGAGAGCACACATCTGTGGAGCCTTCCCTTTTATACAAAGCTCTTAAAGGGACCCAGACCCATCTGGCTCTTAAAGGGACACAGACCCTGCTGAGTCATTCCCATCGTTACATCATACATCTCACATGACATCAGCTGGTTAGCTTTTAAATCATTACCTTGACATTCATATAAGGAACGGTTGCTGGAATTGGGTATGTCTGGTTTAACAAAGAGAAGGACGAGGGGGGACATCATAGCAGCGTTCCAATATCACAGGGGCTGCCCCAAAGAAGAGGGAGTCAAGCTGTTCTCCAGAGCTCCTGAAGACAGGACAAGAAGCAACGGATGGAAACTCATCAAGGAGAGAAGCAACCTGGAACTAAGGAGAAACTTCCTGACAGTTAGAACAATTAACCAGTGGAACCACCTGCCTCCAGAAGCGGTGAATGCTCCAACACTGGAAGTTTTTAAGAAGAGACTGGACAGCCATGTGTCTGAAATGGTATAGGGTTTCCTGCCTGAGCAGGGGGTTGGACTAGATGACCTCCAAGGTCCCTTCCAACATTATTATTATTATTATTATTATTATTATTATTATTATTATTAAATGGGATTTGTTAAATAGCTTAACGTAAACATTACTTAATATTCGTAATGTTTTCTTTTCTTTTCCAGCGTCGCCTCCGGCATTTGCGTAACATCGCAGCCCGGAATATTGTCAGTAGGAATGGTTATCGCCTCTTGGACACCTATTTCACTCTTCACTTGTGTGACAACATAAATATATGTAAAGGTAAAGAGATGTCTATTTCTGTCTCCGATTCTTTTCTCCATCTCCATTTCCAGTAACTCAGTTTGCTTTGGGAATCTTTCTTTAGAGTAGAGGTCCCCAATCCTTTGGGCACCAGGGACCAGTTCTACGGAGAGGGGTTTTTCCAAGGACTGGACGGTTTCGTGGTTTCGTGTGCTGCCTGCATCTTGTGGATGGGGCTTTGCTTGTTTGTGCGGACCGGTTGCTGACATTCCGCAGCCCGGTGCAGGTCCACAGACCGGAGGTTGGGGACCCCTGCATTAGAGCTCTTTATATTCCTTCACAAATGACATGCTCTATTTTTGTATAGTTGAGTGACTGACAAATAGCTTGAGACTAGATACTGAGATGGACGGTTGTAGAAATCCAGTACATACATAATACCGGATCCAATTTGGGTCAGTCACTGGGATCAGAGGTTTTGTGTTCCCAGCTTTCAGAGTCATGCTAAAGCCCATCTTCAGGAGACTTCTCTCCAGCTAGAACAGTGGTTCTCAACCTTTTTAATGCTGTGACCCCCCCCCCAACCGGTCGTAAGTCGAGGACTACTCAACCGGTCGTAAGTCGAGGACTACTCAACTGGTGCAGCATCGTTTGCAGAATGGGACTTTTGGCGGGCTCAGCAGGGCAGAGACAGCCTGGACAATTCCTATTGGCTTTTGAAAGCCAATAGAATTAGACTCTATTCAAGAGAGTCTATTCTATTGGCTTTCAAAAGCCAATAGAACAGTGGTTCTCAACCTTTTTAATGCCGCGACCCCCAACCAGTCGTAAGTTGAGGACTACTCAATCGGTCGTAAGTCGAGGATTACTCAACTGGTGCAGCATCGTTTGCAGAATGGGACTTTTGGCGGGCTCAGCAGGGCAGAGACAGCCTGGACAATTCCTATTGACTTTTGAAAGCCAATAGAATTAGACTCTATTCAAGAGAGTCTAGGCTTTCAATTAGAACAGTGGTCTTTCTCGTATACTCAAGGTCGTAAGTCGAGGATACTCAACTGGTGCTTTGCAGAATTTTTGGTGGGCTTTCCTATTGGCTTTTGAAAGCCAATAGAATTAGACTCTATTCAAGAGAGTCTATTCTATTGGCTTTCAAAAGCCAATAGAATAAAAGGGAGTAGCACAGCTAAGGAAAAGGGGAAAAAAATGGCGGACTGCGTTGTTTGGCGACCCCCGTGAAATGGTCGTTCGACCCCAAATGGGGTCCCGACCCACAGGTTGAGAACCGCTGGCTTAAGGAAACGATAACTTTTCTTTTCCTCTGCATCATCTTTATTTGCAACCCAAGGGGAAAAAAAAATAAACCTTTTGAGCTGCTGGGCATAGGTGGAAATTTCAGAGCATGTTTTCAGGGTTCTCATAAACGGCCTGCCCTCCTTTATCCTTTGCCCTTGGCGTTCTGCTCCTCAGCAAACGAGATTCTCAGTCCTCCAAGTCAGGGTTGTCCCAAAGAGGCCACTGGACCTCCTTGTTTTTCTTTGAAGACGTTTCACTTCTCCTCCCAGAAGCTTCGCCAGCTCTGACTGGATGGTGGGGAAGGGAAGGATTTATACTCCTTGCAGACAGCTGGTCATTTGCATCCTTTCAATGTACGTCTGTGAAAGCTGGACTGTAAGAAAGGCTGAGCGCCAAAGAATGGAGGCCTTTGAACTCTGGTGCTGGAGAAGACTCCTGCGAGTCCCCTGGACTGCAGGGCATTCAAACCGGTCAGTCCTAGAGGAGATCAACCCCAACTGCTCTTTAGAAGGCCAGATCTTGAAGATGAAACTCAAGTCTTTTGGCCACCTAATGAGAAGGAAGGACTCACTGGAGAAGGGCCTAATGCTGGGAAAGATGGAGGGCAAGAGAAGAAGGGGACGACAGAGAATGAGATGGATGGATGGAGTCCCTGAAGCAGGAGGCGTGAGCTTCAATGGACTCCAGAAGATGGTAGAGGACAGGAAGGCCTGGAGGAACGTTGTCCGTGGGGGTCGCGATCGGTCGGACACGACTTCGCAACTAACAACAACAGAGTGTTGTAGAGGCCACCTGGAGGTTTAGCTGTGTCCTCAGGGTCACCTGAGTGGTGCAAATGGGTGTGGAGCCTTCTTGGCTGCAGGATGTTTTCTGCCCTGCATCCCTTGAAGACAGGCAGAGGCTGCTGGGGACGAGTCTGTGTTGTCTGCCTCTCAAAGCAAAGCGCAAATAATTCCAGTAGTCTTTCAGTGTTTTCTGGAAATCCGTTCATAGTCCAGCACCATTCGAAGGGTGTTCTTTCCAAAGTGCATCGCTAAATGTCTGTGGAGATTTCCCTCATCCAGGTCAGGGTTGTTCCAAAGATGCTTTTTCAGGAGGCAACTGGACCTCCTTTGTTTTTTGTTTTCCCAAAGAAAAACAAGAAAGTCCAGTTGCCTCCTGACAAAGCAGCTTTGGGGCTGCTCCTCAGCAGTTTACTTTCCTTTCTCTTTCCTGGGTAGATGAGAGCAGACTTCCAAACCAAAGCGCTACTCTGCAGGCATTTGGCATTTTTATTTTTTAAGAAGGCCTGTGGTACTTGCGTGGAAGCGGAGTTGATGTCAGAGGCTTGGCACTCTGCTTTGCAGCAGGCCAACTTCTCCTTTCACTTGTTATTTAAAAGGTTTAAGTGGGAGTAGAAGACACGGTGTCCGGCTGCAAACAAGGTGTTTGCAGTCGCCACTTTGCCTTGCTGGTCTAGCAATCCAACCTTCTTAAGGCGGTTGTGTTGTCAATGAGCTCTCGCCAGTGGAAAGTAGTGAAATGACGCAAGAAAATTGCAGCAGGAAAATGATGCATGGAGCACATACACACCCTTGTGCATCTCAGTTTACAGATCTGGTTTGATCCGGACGAACGTTTTGCCAGAGTTGATGTTTAAGAGTTGAGTTTTACAGGGCGAAGTCTGATGCAGATTACAGTAGTCCTCGACTGACGACCACAGTGGAATCCAAAATTTAGGTTGCTAAGTGAGACATTTGTCAGTTGAGTTTTCCCAGTTTTGTGACTTTTCTTGCCGCACTTTGTAAGTGAATCGCTGCAGCTGATAAGCTAGTAACACGGTTGTTAAGTGGATCTGCCTTCTCCGTTGACTTTGCTTGTCAGACGGTCGCAAAAGGGGATCACGTGACTCCCCTGGGACACCGCAGCCGTCATAAATAGGAACCGTTTACCAAGCATCCAAATTTTGATCACATGACCACAGGGATGCTGCAATGGTCGTAAGTGCAAAAATGGTCCTAAATCATTTTTTTCCAGCGCCGTTGTAACTTTGAGCAGTCACTCAATGAAGTGTGGTAAGTCGAGGACCCCTGTGCTTTTTGTTAGTGTGTCTAGGGTAATATATAACAGTTCTGTTCTATGACTTTATTTAATCTTGCTGTCTGAAGCCAATCTCTGAATATCCGTGTAACTGTATCATCTGTTTGCATGCTGCTATTTTATTCAGTGAGTGACCTGATGAGGTATTTAAATAGTGTTAATTAATCAAGTTTGTGCCGAGTGCGAAATGGGTGCTAATCTCAGAACTCTCTTACCGTAGTCACCATAAGAGTGTAACAACACTAATGTGAATATTTAATTAATATTTATATACAGCTAGTCCAGGGATAGGCAACCTTGGCTCTTTTATGACTCGTGGACTTCAACTCCCAGAATTCCTGAGCCAGCATGGGGGAACTATGGCCCCTTCATGACTTGTGGACTTCAACTCCCAGAATTCCTCAGCCAGCATGGGGGAACTATGGCCCCTTCATGACTTGTGGACTCCAACTCCCAGAATTCCTGAGCCAGCATGGGGGCACTATGGCCCCTTCATGACTCATGGACTCCAACTCCCAGAATTCCTGAGCCAGCATGGGGGAACTGTGGCCCCTTCATGACTCAGGGACTTCAACTCCCAGAATTCCTGAGCCAGCATGGGGGAACTATGGCCCCTTCATGACTTGTGGACTTCAACTCCCAGAATTCCTGAGCCAGCATGGGGGAACTATGGCCCCTTCATGACTCAGGGACTTCAACTCCCAGAATTCATGAGCCAGCATGGGGGAACTATGGCCCCTTCATGACTTGTGGACTTCAACTCCCAGAATTCCTGAGCCAGGATTGGGGAACTATGGCCCCTTCATGACTCAGGGACTTCAACTCCCAGAATTCCTGAACTATGGCCCCTTCATGACTTGTGGACTTCAACTCCCAGAATTCCTGAGCCAGGATGGGGGAACTATGGCCCCTTCATGACTCAGGGACTTCAACTCCCAGAATTCCTGAGCCAGCATGGGGGAACTATGGCCCCTTCATGACTTGGGACTTCAACTCCCAGAATTCATGAACCAGCATGGGGGAACTATGGCCCCTTCATGACTTGTGGACTTCAACTCCCAGAATTCCTGAGCCAGCATGGGGGAACTATGGCCCCTTCATGACTCAGGGACTTCAACTCCCAGAATTCCTGAGCCAGCATGGGGGAACTATGGCCCCTTCATGACTCAGGGACTTCAACTCCCAGAATTCCTGAGCCAGCATGGGGGGAACTATGGCCCCTTCATGACTCGTGGACTTCAACTCCCAGAATTCCTGAGCCAGCATGGGGGAACTATGGCCCCTTCATTCCCAGCAATTCTGGGAATTGAAGTCCACAGGTTGTAAGGTGGCCGTAGTTGCCCACCCCTTCTCCAGACTGTTTAATGTTTATTAACCGTGACATGGGACAATGTTTTCCTGGTGTAACCTCCCTGTGCAAACTATATTTATGACTGCAGTAAACCAGAGACTGTTAATGAGGATTTGTCAATGAGGCTTTGTCACTTATAGTCCAGAATATAACCCAAGGGAAAGATTGGCGATTAAGCAGTTGGAGTCTGGGGAGGGGGTTTCTGCAGTAACAGCAATTGGCTTCAAAATGGTGGACGTGATTGCCTTCACTGCATGAAACAAGACGGGGTAGGTTCTGTTGTTTTTAATGTAATGTGTTAATTTTGAGAGTTTTAATATGGTTCTGTCTTTGGTTTTAACTTTTGATTGGGGACCGCCCAAAGTTGGCTGCAAGATGGGTAGCTGCATACATATTTAAAAAAAATAAAAAAAATGCTATTTCAATTGCTCAGTTGGATTTGCCATTTTGAACGCAGTGATGCCACGACAGATGTTCTTGGTATAATGTTGTACCTATCTGGTGTAGTAGTGAGAAGTACAGGTAGCCCTTGACCAGGGGTAGGCAACCTTGGCTCTTTTATGACTCGTGGACTTCAACTCCCAGAATCCCTGAGCCAGCATGGGGGAACTACGACCCCCTTCATGACGCATGGACTTCAACTCCCAGAATTCCTGAGCCAGCATGGGGGAACTATGGCCCCTTCATGACTTGTGGACTTCAACTCCCAGAATTCCTGAGCCAGCATGGCTTAGCATGGAAACCTCTCCCTTCCCCTCAGCATGGCTGGCTCAGGAATTCTGGCGGTTGAAGTCCATGAGTCATAAAAGAGCCAAGGTTGCCTACCCCTGAGCTAGTCCTTGGCTTACAACAGTTCATCTAGGAACTGTTCCAAGTTACAACAGCGCTGAAAAAAGTGACCATTTTTCACACTTACGACTGTTGCAGCACCCCTGTGAACACTTGATCCAAATTCGGACGCTCGGCACCTGACTCATATTAATGACATGTGATCCCCTTTTGCGACCTTCTGACAAGTAAAGTCAATGGGGAAACCAGATTCACTTAACAACTGTGTTACTAACTTTACAACTGCAGTGATTCACGTAAGTGTGGCAAGAAAAGTCGTAAAATGGGGCAATAACAATAGCCCCTGAGACTTATATACCGCTTCACAGGGCTTTGCAGCCCCTCTCTAAGCAGTTTACAGAGTCAGCCTATTTGCCCCCAACAATCTGGGTCCTCATTTTACTGACCTCAGGATGGAAGGCTGAGTCAACCTTCAGCCGGTCAGGATCGAACTGCTGGCAGTCGGCAGAGTTAGCTTGCAGTACTGCATTCTAACCTCTGCGACACCTTGTCTCCTTCCTCCCTCCCTCCCCTTCCCTCCCTCCCTCCCTCCCTCCCTCCCTTCCTTCCTTCCTTCCTTCCTTCCTTCCTTCCTTCCTTCCTTCCTTTCCCTCCCTCCCTCCCTGCTTCCTTCCTCCCTCCCTCCCTCCCTCCCTCCCTTCCTTCCTTCCTTCCTTCCTTCCTTCCTTCCTTCCTTCCTTCCTTCCTTCCTTCTAGCACTTAGACTTATATGCCCCTTCACAGTGCTTTGCAGCTCCTCTCTAAGCGGTTTACAGAGTCAACATATTTCCCCCCCAACAATCTGGGTCCTCATTTTACCTACCTCGGAAGGACGGAAGGACGAGTCAAACTTGAGTCGGTCAGGATTGAACAAAATTCACTTAACAAATGTCTCACCTAGAAACAGAAATGTCGATCTCAGTTGTGGTTATAAGTCGAGGACTACCTGTATTTAATATGTAATAGTGAACGATTCGGATATTTACATTTTGTGTTTATGCGATCTGATTAATTTTCCTTGGTTTACTGATAACTGGATGAAAGTTCCTCACACCGTTTCTGGGCATTTGATGCCACGAAAGATGCTTATTTTATAATGAAGCTTTGAGCAATAATTGGTATCTTTCAGTGATCTCCCAGACTCAGAGTTACTTCTGGCCTCAGTTATTGGCCTGAGAAGCCGAACGATACAGGCAGTTCTCACTTAATGACCAGTCCCTTAGCAACCATTTAAAGTTATAAAAAACCTTTCCATAGGTTTTTGCTGATGCCCCCTCCCACAGTCACGTGCCCCATATTGGGCTCTTGCTCACAATCTTCTTGATGCTGATTAGACACTGAAAGACCTTTGTGATTTCTTTGATAAAAACTTGATGCAGAGGTTTCTGGAGTTTTTTTTAATGGGTTACCAAAGAAAGCTGTTTTTTCTGAAAATAAGAATTCAACAGGCGTGGCTTCCCACAGGTTTGGCTTCCATGTAACCTGAGGTTATTTTATGACAACCATTGTTTGCATAACCTGACCTCTGTAGGACTTTGGCTTGATTTCATGATCAATTGCTGTTTTGCTCTCCCGGCTTGATATCCTTAGAAATCTGTGCAATGTGATCCCTAACGTTCTTTTAATTTCTTTTCTTTCTTTTTTTTCAATAGAATTTTATAAGAGTGAGGTCATCAAGAATTCACTGGTAAGTGAACTGCTATTATGTTGACTAAGGTTTTCCTTTGAATCTTTTCCTTTAAACCAGGGGTGGGCACTTTTATCACCAGTGGACTTCCAACTCCCAGAATTCCTGAGCCAGCAATTCTGGGAATTGAAGTCCACAGGTTGTAAAGTGGCCGTAGTTGCCCACCCCTTCTCCAGACTGTTTAATGTTTATTAACCGTGACATGGGACAATGTTTTCCTGGTGTAACCTCCCTGTGCAAACTACAGGAGTTATATTTATGACTGCAGTAAACCAGAGACTGTTAATGAGGATTTGTCAACAGAGGCTTTGTCACTTATAGTCCAGAATATAACCCAAGAGAAAGATTGGCGATTAAGCAGTTGGAGTCTGGGGAGGGGGTTTCTGCAGTAACAGCAATTGGCTTCAAAATGGTGGACGTGATTGCCTTCACTGCATGAAACAAGACGGGGTAGGTTCTGTTGTTTTTAATGTAATGTGTTAATTTTGAGAGTTTTAATATGGTTCTGTCTTTGGTTTTAACTTTTGATTGGGGACCGCCCAAAGTTGGCTGCAAGATGGGTAGCTGCATACATATTTAAAAAAAATAAAAAAAATGCTATTTCAATTGCTCAGTTGGATTTGCCATTTTGAACGCAGTGATGCCACGACAGATGTTCTTGGTATAATGTTGTACCTATCTGGTGTAGTAGTGAGAAGTACAGGTAGCCCTTGACCAGGGGTAGGCAACCTTGGCTCTTTTATGACTCGTGGACTTCAACTCCCAGAATCCCTGAGCCAGCATGGGGGAACTATGGCCCCCTTCATGACCTGTGGACTTCAACTCCCAGAATTCCTGAGCCAGCATGGGGGAACTATGGCCCCCTTCATGACTCGTGGACTTCAACTCCCAGAATCCCTGAGCCAGCATGGCTCAGCTTGGAAACCTCCCTTTCCCCTCAGCATGGCTGGCTCAGGAATTTTGGGAGTTGAAGTTCACGAGTCATGAAGGGGCCATAGTTCCCCCATGCTGGCTCAGGAATTCTGGGAGTTGAAGTCCATGAGTCATGAAGGGGGTCGTAGTTCCCCCATGCTGGCTGAGGAATTCTGGGAATTGAAGTCCACAAGTCATGAAGTGGACATAGTTCCCCCATGCTGGCTCAGGAATTCTGGGAGTTGAAGTCCACGAGTCATGAAGGGGGCCATAGTTTCCCCCATGCTGGCTCAGGAGTTCTGGGAGTTGAAGTCCACAAGTCATAAAAGAGCCAAGGTTGCCTACCCTTGCTCTTGAGTTACAACATTTCATTTAGTGACCGTTCGAAATTACAACAGTACTAAAAAAGTGACTTAAAATTTTTTCACACTTAACGACCATCACAGCATCCCCATGGATCACACAATCAAAATTCAGACACTTGGCAAGTGACTCACACTTATGACGGCTGCCATGTCCCGGGGTCACGTGATCACCTCTTGTGCCCTCCTGACAAGCAAAATCAGTGGGGAGGCCAGATTCCCTTAACAACCGTGTTACCAACTTAAGAACTGCAGTGATTCGCTTAACGACTGTGGCAAGAAAATAAAACGAGGCAAAACTGTCCCACTGAACAGTGGAAGTTTTGGGCTCAATAGCGGTCATAGATTGCGGACCACTTTCAGAACACAAAACGATATTCTCGGTGTTTGAGTATATCAATTTGCATTAAGGGGACGGATAGAGGTGGAACTAAGAAACCTTGTAGGATTTCTGCGGTTGTAAATTTTAAATCTAATTTTTTTTTAAATTTCTTTATTGATTAGCCCTTGGGCCATATCAAAAGTGCAAGGTTCCGGAAACAAATGATTACTAAAATTTGATAAAAGCGATTTAAAATGGCATTAGATAAAATACAATTTAAAATGACGTTGGAATAAAATAAAATGAAGTTGGAATAAAATACAGTCTGAAATGAAATTGGGTTAGAATACAATGGTTGTAATTGACCTTTGAGCCAAATCAACTTGAAGGACTATGAGGAGGGCCCTCCACTGCAGATCCAAGGCATCAGATCAAATTCTGATGGGATATGTGTTAAATACTTGGATCCTAAAACACTTAGACTAGACCTTCCTAGATTCATACCAGCATATGGTGTTAAGTGATGATTTTTTCCCCCCGTCTTTTGTATTGTGGTTTTAAAATTTTTATTAGCCAGCTTAAGTTCAGTTCAGTTTGAACTGAAGGGCAAGGAGTATATTGAACACATAGAAAACAAAGCATCTTACGTTGATCTCGAGAGTTCACAGGTAGCCAGCATTGCTCTTTCATGTTGCGTCACGTAACAGAGAGGCAGCTGTGGTCTGTATCAATTTGCAGCTTCCTGACCATCTTGAAGATTAGCTTCATACTGAGTGCAGAGTTGTGAGATTAATTAGGAAATGGATCAGAGAAGCTAGTCTATTTTGGTTCAGGTGAGGTCGTAGCCGATGCCTCAATTGTTAGTGGAGCCGTTAATGACAGTCGCAAATGGTAATCTTCCTAATTCCTAGGTCTGAGATATATACATATATACACATACACACACACAAACACATATTAAGTGTCAAGTAGAACACCTGGTCTACTGCTATGATTACTTTTGCCTTTTAGCCCCAGTCTAGGAGCGTTTTGCAGGCTCAAGTCACTAGTGCGATAAACTATTTCTGTACATTTTAGATTTTGCCGACAAAGAGAAACTAGTATAGCTGTTTCAAGCTATTTAGCTCTCATCAGCTAGCCATACCCTTCTGGGATTCGAACCTGGGCAGCTTGCATGTTAGGCAAGGTTAGGTTTCAGCTGACAGAAGTGAGGAGAATCTGTGGCCTAGAGGTTAATGCAGCTGCCTAACATGCAGGCTGCCCAGGTTCGAATCCCAGAAGGGTATGGCTAGCTGATGAGAGCTAAATAGCTCGAAACAGCTATACTAGTCTCCCTTTAACTCAGTGGTTCTCAGCCTGTGGGTCGGGACCCCATTTGGGGTCGAACGACCATTTCATGGGGGTCGCCAAACAACGCAGTCCGCCATTTTTTTCCCCTTTTCCTTAGCTGTGCTACTCCCTTTTATTCTATTGGCTTTTGAAAGCCAATAGAATAGACTCTCTTGAATAGAGTCTAATTCTATTGGCTTTCAAAAGCCAATAGGAATTGTCCAGGCTGTCTATGCCCTGCTGAGCCCGCCAAAAGTCCCATTCTGCAAACGGTGCTGCACCAGTTGAGTAGTCCTCGACTTACGACCGGTTGAGTAGTCCTCGACTTACGACCGGTTGGGGCTTGCAGCATTAAAAAGGTTGAGAACCACTGCTTTAACTCTTTGTCAGCAAAATCTAAAATTTACAGACACACACACACACACGTTAGTATTCCTGCAGAAGTTTGGATTCAGATGAAGCATTAACTACTTCCCGGACTTACCCAATAGATTATCCCTGCTGGATCCTAACAGTTACCACTAACCCAGTTCCCAGGAGCACCTTCTCTTATTCTTGTCCATTCCAAAGGGAGTTCATCTCACCAACCCTGAGCAGCTGACAGTCCGTACATGCGACACGTTCTGCAATAATCTGAATCAGAATAGAGCTGGAGGGGACTCTGGAGGTCTTCTAGTCCAACCCCCTGCTCAAGCAGGAGACCCTGCCTATACCATTTCAGACAAGTGGCTGTCCAGTTTCTTCTTAAAAAACTTCCAGTGATGACGCACCCAGCACTTCTGAAGGCAACTTCTATTCCACAGGTTACTGGAATACTGTTATCACGTCACCCCCCCCCCCAAGTCCTTCTTTTCTCTAGACTGGCCATACCCAATTCCTTGTCTAATATGAAGCAAATGCAAATGTTCTTTGTGAAACTTATTATAATATATAGCCAAGCAATTGGCTGCATCAGGAATAATAATAGCAACAGTAATAATAATAAATAATGTTGGGAGGGACCTTGGAGGTCATCTAGCCCAACCCCCTGCTTAGGCAGGAAACCCTATACCATTTCAGACGAATGGGCTCTCCAGTTTCTTCTTAAAAACTTCCAGTGTTGGAGCATTCACCGCTTCTGGAGGCAGGTTGTTCCACTGATTACCGTATTTTCCGGCGTAAAGACGACCTTCTAGGCATGGAAATCGGCGCCAAAGTCGGGAGTCGTCTTATATGCCAGAAAATACAGTAATTGTTCTAACTGTCAGGAAGTTTCTCCTTAGTTCTAGGTTGCTTCTCTTCTTGATCAGTTCCCATCCGTTGCTTCTTGTCCTGCTTTCAGGCGCTTTGGAGAATAGCTTGACTCCCTCTTCTTTGGGGCAACCCCTGAGATACTGGAAGATTGCTATCATGTCCCCCCTCGTAGACATATCCAATTTCAGCAACCGTTCCTTATATACTTTAGCCTCCGAACCTCTAATCATCTTTGTTGCTCTTCTCTGTACTCTTTCTAGAGTCTCAACATCTGTTTTACAGTGTGGTGACCAAAACTGGATGCAGAATAACTTAGAGCAATTTGTGCACCATCTTTGGAAGTCTTTTTCGGACATACACGTAGTCCTTGTTTAATAACCGGTTGCTTAGTAACCATTCAAAGTTACAACAGACCCCCCCAGAGCTACTTATGGCCCAGTTTTGAAGTTCTGATTCCTCCCCTCCCCCCCCCAGGCTCCACCTGCACACTCATGAAATTGCATTTGGGGTGTTTAGCCTTTACGGCCGTTTGCAGCATCCCCTGGTCATGCGACTGCAACTTTCATCATTTTTTACTGATTTTGTAGCATTTACAAATGGGAAACCACCCATTGGGAAAAATGGATCCATTTAATGACCGTTGCAAAAAACATTGTAAAGTTGGGTATGGTCACTTGGTGACCAGCTTAATGGCCTCCATGATGTACGACTCTAATTCTGGATTCAATTACAGTCTTAAGGACTAACTATACAGTAGTGGCCCAAATTGTGGAAACCTTTTGGGAAAAGTGTACAGTAGAAATGCCACCTTTGGTTAAGTTTCCACCCATTTTTCTTCTAATGTCTTTATAACTGTAGCCTTGTTCACTTCATAATACTATTCTACATCGCTTTCTGGGTGACCAGTCAACTCTTTGCACCATCACTTTAATTTTATTGCATTTTACAAGCTCACTAAATGAAAGAACACAAAAAACCCCAACCAATTTGATAGCCATCACATAACACCCTGACAAATGTCCTCCTCTCGGCTTCAATACAGGACATCAATAACTGACTCCTACTGTGATCTGATTGGCTTATTCCCAAAACAAGATGACACCTGATTGGCTCTCCAAACACTCATGTTCATTGGCTACAATCAGATGAAGGAAAGCTACCTGAGATTAACCTAAGCAAGTTGTGCTTCCTTTTTCTGGTTATTTGGCTATAGCTTTTCATAGAATACAGTACAGATCATTGAACAAATTATTGTTGCATTACATTCTTGATTAAATCATCTTTCCATTGATATATAATTTTATGGTACTACTCCAGAAAAAAAGTGGTGATATTAGCCATCAAACCTCAGAAATACACTTTTCCCAAAAGGTTTCCACAATTTTGGCCACTACTGTATACTAATAGCTGTGTGAGAAAATAACCTGGAATATTTCATTCTCTCTTCTTCCCCGCTGACAGAATCCAACATGGCGAAGCCTTGACTTTGGTTTAATGCCTGATCGCCTTGATACGTCTGTCTCCTGTTTTGTGGTGAGGATATGGGGTGGCAAGAATGATACCTATCAGCTACTGATTGAGTGGAAGGTCAATCTAGATGGACTCAAATATTTGGGCCAGCAGGTAAAAGAAAAGTGTACTGTTTCAACTTGGATTGGCTATGTAAGGATATGTTCAGCAAATAATATCTGTTGATGGAATAGCAAAGAATTGTTGCAAGATATAAGTGTCTGTGGAGATTCTCAATCATCCAGGTCATGGTTGTCCCAAAGATGCTTTTCAAAAGGCAACTGGACTTTTTTTTTTTCTTTTCTTGAAAATGTTTCGTTTCTCACCCAAGAAGCTTCTGAAGTGAAGAACCGAAGAAGCTTCTTGGATGAAAAAGTGAACCGTTTTCCAGAATAACAACTAAGGAAGTCCAGTTGCTTTTTCAAAAGGACCTTTGATGCAAGATATAAAGTTAGCAGACGCTGGACAGAATTTTGGCAGGATAATAGGAATCTTCGCTATATTACTAAAAAGGTTGTGTTTTATCTGTTTTTGTACCATCAAGGTAGCCCAAATCGTGCCTTATACTACAAGTATTTGAATCAGGATACCTAACATTTATTAATTTAAAAATCAAGGGGCCTAAAATTCGTTAATTTAAAAAGGCATGAAAAAAAAATCCAGGAGCCATTCATTACTCCTGTGGCATTGAAATCTCCATGATGTTCTGTGTGCAAAATGGTGGCTATTGCGGCCTCCCTGCAGTCACATGATTGTGATTTCAGCACTCCTTGCCAGTTTCCCACAAGTAAAATCATTGGGGAAGCCAGCAGGAAGTCAAATATCATTCCCACTTCCACTGCTTTGCCTGCCTATGATCTTCCTGTTTAGTAATAGTAATAGTAGTAAAGTTGGAAGGGACCTTGGAGGTCATCTAGTCCAACCCCCTGCTCAGGCAGGAAACCCTACACCATTTCGGACAAATGGCTGTCCAGTCTCTTTGTTTAAGTAAGTACAGACTGAGTTGTTACTGAAGATCATTTGCCACCACGATTAATTTTCAATTTATGATATATAATTTTCTTTGAGAGTCATGAGCCTGTCCAGCATTAGGATGAAACAGGGGTCTTCAAACTTGGCCCTTTTATGACTTGTGGACTTCCAACGCTGGCTGAGGAATTCTGGGAGTTGAAGTCCACAAATCATAAAAGGGCCAAGTTTGAAGACCCCTGAGATAAAAGAAATACAATCAGTTTGAAGTTTAATGTTCATTTTGGTCATATCACACCCTGCTCTCAAAGGAGGAGCCAGCGGACCACAGGGTTGTCTACCTGATCACTCATTTTGAAAGTTGACTATCTGCAGATAGAAGTATATTCAGTTGGCTTGTTCATTATCTAGCCAAATTAGTTAAAAGCTCCAGATGGTTAAATGTCTATGAAGATTCTCAATCATCCAGGTCATGGTTTCCCCAAAGATGCTTTTTCAAACGGCAGTTAGACTTCCTTGGTTTTTTTTTTTTTCTCCCCCTCTCTTTGAAAATGTTTTGCTTCTCATCTAAGAAGCTTCTTCAATGAATGCCAGATGTTTAGCTTTGGGTGTAGACTATGAAAACCGAAGGCTTAACAAATTTATCGTTAGGTTAGATTGTGCGGGATGACCTAGGCCAGGGGTAGGTAATCTTGGCACTTTTATGACTCTTGGATTTCAACTCCCAGAATTCCTGAGCCAGCCATACTGGCTCATGAATTCTGGCAGTTGAAGTCCACAAGTCATGAAGGGGGCCATAGTTTCCCACATGCTGACTTAGGAATTCTGGGAGTTGAAGTCCACAAGTCATGAAGGGGCCATAGTTCCCCCATGCTGGCTCAGGGATTCTGGGAGTTGAAGTCCACAAGTCATGAAGGGGCCATAGTTCCCCCATGCTGGCTCAGGAATTCTGGCAGTTGAAGTCCACAAGTCATGAAGGGGGCCATAGTTTCCCACATGCTGGCTCAGGAATTCTGGGAGTTGAAGTCCACAAGTCATGAAGGGGCCATAGTTCCCCCATGCTGGCTCAGGAATTCTGGGAGTTGAAGTCCACCAGTCATGAGGGGGCCATAGTTCCCCCATGCTGGCTCAGGAATTCTGGGAGTTGAAGTCCAGAAGTCATCAAGGGAGCCATAGTTCCCCCATGCTGGCTCAGGAATTCTGGGAGTTGAAGTCCGCGAGTCATAAAAGAGCCAAGGTTGCCTACCCCTGACCTAGACCCTTGAAGGCTAAGCGTGTGTATGATTATGTACTTAGTTCGTTGTTCGTTGTGGCCCAGAAAATGAATCTATTCATGGGATCGAGTTTCAGCTTCTTCCTTTCCCCTCTATAGGGTCAGTGGTGAACCTGAATAACAGAAGGATGCCACAAAACATATGATCCCTACAAAGAATGCCACTCTGGGTGCTAAAAGAACTAAAACAATGGCTTTAAAGTAAGCTGACTGAATCTGTGACACTGGTTTTACTTAACAGATACATGCTCGTAGCCCGAATGAAATCATTTTTGGGCTGAATGATGGTTATTATGGGGCCTTGTACGAACGAAAGGTAAGCTTACACCCACTGCGTCCGTAACCTCTTAAAATCATCAACCCGCAGAGCACATTAGCTTCCAGAATGTTTTTTTCAGTTTTCTAAAAAAATCAAATTAACTGTCCAGTGAAACATAGAAAGCCAGTTTGGCCTAGTGGTTAAGGGGTTGGCCTAGAAAAACCAGGAGGCCGTGACTTCTAGTCCCACTTTACGTATGAAAGCTAGCTGGGTGACTTTGGATCAGTCACTTTCTCTCAGCTCAGCCCACCTCACAGGGTTGTTGATGTGGGGAAAATAGGAGGAAGAAGGAGTCTTAGCAGTGGTGGGATTCAAATACCTGAACAACCGGTTCTCTTATTGGATTCAGGCCTGGGCCTCCGAGGCCTAGAATAGACTTCTGGAAGTAGCATCCATGCACTTCCAGTGGGCCTTTCTAGGCCTGGGAGGTTTCCTTCAGGCCTCCAAGGCCTAGAACCGACTTCTGGAAGTGGCATCCATGCACTTCTGGTAAGCCATTCTAGGCCTGGGAGGCCTCCTTCAGGCCTTCGACGCCTAGAACCGACTTCCGGAAGTGGCATCCACGTGCTTCCAGTGAGCCATTCTAGGCCTGGAAGGCCTCCTTCAGGCCTCCGAGGCCAAGAACTGACTTCCGGAAGTGGCATCCACGTACTTCCTGTGGGCCGTTCTACTCCCAGGCCTAGAATAGACTTCCGGAAGCAGTGTGCATTCAGCTGGTTCTCCAAACTCAGCAAAATTTAGCTACCAGTTCTGCCAAACTGGTGCAAACTGGCTAGATTCCACCACTGAGTCTTAGGTAGGTTCATTGCCTTGAGGTATTTATAAAAAATAATAAAGGAGGGACAAAAAGCTAATAAATAAGAAGAGAAGTATCTTGGGGATAAAGCAGTGCTTCTCAATTATTTTCTGTCATGCCCCCCTAGGAAGAAGAAAACATTTCGCACCCCCCGCGCGACTGTAAAAAATTTTTTTCTGTACAGAGGACCGATTTCCGGGTCTAAAAGTCACACGGGCGGGTTTGGCCAATCAGGATAGAGCATCATGTCTATCCAATCGGGTCCTTTGCATGTGTCACGTGCGTTGGCGGTCATGTTGTCCTCCGCGTCGGGCTGCCGCTTGCGAGTGAGTCGGATGATCCGATCTAGAAATCCAATATGACAGTATTTGCCGAGGTCAAACGAGCCCCCCTTTACGGAGCCTCGTGCCCCCCCTGGGGGGCGCGCCCCACTATTTGAGAAGCACTGGGATAAAGAGAGAAGGTTGGTAAATATGAATATCACGTGTAAAGGGTGGGCTATAAACCCTGTTTTGTCTGGACAAAACGTTCGAGTGTAATTTTTTTTATTAGGAAAATAGAATCTAATTTCAGCGTTCCCAAAGCAAAACTGTTAACGCACTGTCTTGTTTGTCTTCAAGGGTGTCTCAGGAATCCAGAAGAATCTGCAGGTGGATCCAAATTGTGTGCGTAACTCATATGATGTCTTCTCTTTGCTAAGGTAACTTCTGGCTTCCGATTAAGAAGCAACTGAGAGCTGAAAGTAACATAGTTTCCCAGAATGTTTTTCAACACTGTGTGAATCATTAGCGATGGCCCCTAAGCTCCTTGCGTAACACGTTGGAAGTTTAGCCTTAATGTTGGCTTGCACGTTGTTGTTTTTTGTTGTTGTTGTACACGAAAATGTACTTTTTTTTTTCCAGCGCAGATATGTTTAGTGTGAAAGTTCGTTTCTTTTGCCATCAGCGGAAGGAGTTGAAATGTCATTCTTCACGATAGGAGCAGGCTTGTGGATGGTTGTCCTTTTATGGTGCTTTTATTACACACTGAAAAAGATAAAAAAAATTAAGGCAAAAGAAGAAAACGAAAAGAAATAGATGTGCAGAATGTCTGTGGACATTCTCCATCCTCCAGAGGTCAGGGTTGTCCCAAAGTTGCTTTTTCACAAGGCAACTGGACTTCCTTGTTTTTCTTTGAAGACCTTTCGCTTCTCATCCCAGAGGCTTCTTCAGCTCTGACTGGATGGTGGGGAACGGAAGGATTTATGCTCCTTGCAGACAGCTGGTCATTTGCATCCTTTTTGAGAGTCGTTGAGGCCACCTGGAAGATTGCCTGTGTCCTCTGGATCACCCTGAGTGCTGCAAATGGGTGTGGAGCCTTCTTGGGACTGCTTGAAAGGACTGTGTTGTGTAGTTGTGCTTTCTGCAGGATGATTCTGCAGCTCCACAACACAGTCCCTTTCAGCAATTCCAAAAAGGCTCCACACCCATTTGTACCACTCAGGTGACCTTGAGGACACAGATGGCCTCCACGACTCTCTAAAACAGTGGTTCTCAACCTTTCTAATGCCGTGACCCCATAATACAGTTCCCCATGTTGTGGTGACCCCCAAGTGGGTGTGGCCACCAATAAGAGGGAGTAGGACAGCTAGGGGAAAGGGAAAAAAATGGCGGACAGCATGGTTTGGCGACCCCCATGAAATGGTGGTCCTGTTGCCTTTCGAAGCAGCTTTCCTCCCGACTTTTGTCATAGTGAAAATTGAAATAATACTTGGAATTAGACCTGCAGTCAGTGTGTCAAGCAGAGGTACTGCATGGAAAAATCAACTGGTGCCCATAGCTGCTTGAACCATTATGTTCTAGATCAGCCAAAGTCTCTGGATAATCTTCGGGAGCAATTGCACAGGAAGTCCTCGACTTACAGCCATGCGTTTAGTGTCCATTCAGCGTTAACAACGGCGTTGAAAAAAAGTGACTCACGACTATTTTTCACACTTACAACCTTTGCGGCATCCCCACGATCAGGCGAACAAATTTCAGAGGCTTGGCAACTGGCAGGTACTTGCGATGGTTGCACAGTGTCCCCGGGGTCACGTGATTTTCCCCTTCTGAGACCTTCTGACAAACAAAGTCAATGGGGAAGCCAGATTCTCTTTTAAGAGCCGTAACACTAACTTAACAACCGCACCGATTCACCTTGACAACTGCGGCAAGAAAGGTCATAGAGTGGGGCAAAACTCACTTAGCAGCCGCCTTGCTTCGCGGTGGAAATTTTGAGCTCCGTTACGGTCGTAATTCGAGGACAGCCTGTGGTTCAGGCGGAATGTACTCAGGTGATAAATGGAGGAAAAAAACTCTGATTTGCTGTCGGTGAGCAGCAGTGAACCAGGGGACCTTCTCGACTTAATGACAATTTGTTTAGCGACAGCGACACTGAAAAAAAGTGACTTGGGACCGTTTTTCACCCTTACGACTGTCGCAGCACCTCTGCAGTCACGAGATCAGAACTGGGACGATGGGCAACTGACTCGCCTTTATGATGGTCGCAGTGTCCCCGGGGGTCACGCGATCCCTTTTTGCCACCTTCTGACACGCAAAGTCAATGGGGAAGCCAAGGTTCACTTAACAACTGTGTTACTAACGTACCGTATATTCCGGCGTATAAGACGACTTTTGAGAGCGTCGAAACAGCCTCCGAACTCGGGGGTCGTCTTATACGCCGAGTCGTCTTATACGCCGGAAATAAGGTAGTTTCCGGCATATAAGACGACTTTCTAGGCATGCGACTCAGCGTTGATGGTCTTGCGACTCGGCGTCGATCGTCTTGTGACCCGGCATCGAACTAGGGGGTCTTATATGCCGAATCGTCTTATACACCGGAAATAAGGTAGTTTCCGGCATATAAGACGACTTTCTAGGCATGCGACTCGGCGTTGATCGTCTTTTACGCCAGAAATAACGTAGTTTCCGGCGTATAAGACGACTTTCTAGGCATGCGACTCGGTGTTGATGGTCTTGCGACTCAGGGTCGATCGTCTTGTGACCCGGTGTCGAACTCGGGGGTCGTCTTATACGCCGAGTCGTCTTATACGCTGGAAATAAGGTAGTTTCTGGCATATAAGACGACTTTCTAGGCATGCGACTCGGTGTCGATCGTCTTATACGCCGGAAATAACGTAGTTTCCAGCATATAAGACGACTTTCTAGGCACGCAACTCAGCGTCGATCGTCTTATGCACCGGAAATACCAGTAGTTTCCAGCGTATAAGACCACTTTCTAGGCATGCGACTCGGCGTTGATGGTCTTGCGACTCGGCATTGATGGTCTTGCGACTCGGCGTCGATCGTCTTGCGACCCGGCGTCGAATTCGGGGGTTGTCTTATACGCCGGGTCGCCCTATACGCCGGAATATACGGTAACAACTGCAGGGATTCACTGGACAACAGTGACAAGACAAGTTGTCGTAACATGGGGGGAAACTCACTTAGCAAATGTCTCGTTTATCAGCATAAACGTTGGGTTCAGTTATCGTTAAGTTGAGGATCACCTGCGTGATTGCATTCCCTGTACATTTGAGTTGCACTTGCTGGACCATCTAAAGAGTTTCTTCTGGGTCTCCAGCTTAGGGGATTTCAAGGTTTGTGTAGAGCTGATTCCCAACCTTGCCAATTGCCTGCCAAGATCCTTAAAATAATAATTTTAATGTTTTGTTCCTTCATTTTTAATGTCGTTTGTAACCCAGAGTTGCTTGACTGCAAGGTGGGCAGCATATACATTTAATAAATAAATAACAGTAATAACATTTTAATAATAATAACAATAACAATAATGATGATGATGATGTTGGAAGGGACCTTGGAGGTCATCTAGTCCAACCCCTTGCTCAGGCAGGAAACCCTATACCATTTCAGACAAATGGCTGTCCAATCTCTTCTTAAAAACTTCCAGTATTGGAGTATTCACCGCTTCCGTAGGCAGGTTGTGTTGGTTTCTTCTTATTTCCAGGTTGCTTCTCTCCTTGGTTAGTTACCATCCGTTGCTTCTTGTCCTGCCTTCAGGCGCCTTGGAGAATAGCTTGACTTCCTCTTCTTTGGGGCAGCTCCTGAGATACTGGAAGACTGCTATCTTGTCTCCCCTCGTCCTTCTCTTCGTTAAACTAGACCAGTGATGGCGAACCTTTGAGAGACCGAGTGCCCAAACTGCAACCCAAAACCCACTTATGCATCGTTGAGGGCCAGGTGGGCGTGGCCCATTGGGTGGGCGTGGCCCATTGGGTGCACGTGGCTCCGGTGGTAACGGCAGACTGGGTGGGACTAAAAAGTTGAATCAATCAATTCCAATTTTGCAAGATCTTTTTTTTCCGCAAGAAGTTGAAATTGACTGATTAAACTTTTTTTTTTTTTTTTTTTTTTTTGCACATGGCAACGGAGGCCTAAAGCGAAAAGGTTTATAAAACCCAGCTGAAGGCCTAGGACTGGGGTGACGGCTTGCGTGCCCACAGAGAGGGCTCTGAGTGCTGCCTCTGGCACCTGTGCCATAGGTTTGCCACCACTGAAATAGACATACCCAATTCCAGCAACTGTTCCTTATAATATTTTAGCCACCAGTCCCCTGATCATCTTTGTTGCTTTTCCCTTGAGTTTGCTTGGAATTTGGTAAATTATTTTCCTTGGTGGAAGACAAACCAGCAGATGTCACCATTGCCCTGCAAGAGAAACAATTTCATTCCTTTAGTGAAAAAAAAACAACAATGTTAGGGTAGTGCTGAACGGAATCATCATTCAGGCATCTGAGTCATAAACTTCTGTAGCTTTCTAAAAATGTTGGAAGCTAAATTCTTAAATTCTCCAAATACCTGAGGTTATGTCAAGGTAATCAAAAGCAGGTAGAATACTTTGCAGATGATTTGCACTGAGTTCTTAGAAGGCTGCAGGATCCAATCTGGGTCAGACCAAGTTTTGGTTCCCCAGTGACTAAGCCAGACTGGATCCTGCAACGTTATCCCGGGACACAGATATTCGTCTTCATTGATCTTAGAAGGCTGCTTATTGCTTAATCAAGCTAATCGGTCCAAAATATAACAACCGCGAAAAGAATAGATTTGTATGAACCAGTACAAAGAACCCAACTTACTCAACCGGTGAATGTGGAGGCTCTGTTTTTCTGCCTTATGGGCCCTTAATCAATGTTTGTTCCCCAAACCCCTTTAATGTCTGTTAAAATGTGACCCAGGTTTAACCAATAGCTTTGGTGACACCACTACAGTTTGAACCACCAAGCTTAATTCTCTCAGGGTGAGCTACCAAAACCAAGCTACGTTATGGTTTATACCAGGGCTTTTCAACTTTTTCACCCATTGTACCACTTTTAGGATACGGCAGTATCCGAGTACCACCAGTCGCCTAGCAAGGTGTCAAAAACTTGATGACCAAAAAAAAAGGAAAAAAGTTATGAAGTACAGGTAGTCCTCAACTTACAACAGTTCGCTTAGTGACTGTCCGAAGTTACAATGGCACTGAAAAAAGTGCCCCCCAAGGCACAGCCAAGCAAGACACCTGCCTGCCCGCCCAGGGGTGCTCTTCCTCCTGTCCGAGGTTTCCATTGTTGTGAGCATTTCTGTTGAGGATTGGCAGCGGGGCGGGGGGTGGGGGGGTGTTTGGTTTTTATTCCCCCCATCTGCTGGGCAGTTGCAGCAGGTTTTGGTCACTTCACATGACCCTG